ACTAGAAGTAGAACTATGACTAAGCCATATCACATTTGTAAAATATAATGCAGTATGTTCAATCAACTACACATTTTAACAGTATTGGTTGCATAATTCAGCCATGAGTGATCTCATTGAATATCTGTACAAGCATACAAGGTATTCAATAACATGATTATCTAAATATCTAATGCCAACTCTGGTACAGGGCGTACAAGCTACACTTAAAACAAGCTATGAAAAATTGCACCTCGCAATGCATTTCTAAACAGTTTCAACAAAAGCAAGAAATATGAATGGTCCTATGTTGGCAAATTTCATAATAATCTCCTAAAAATATCTGAAATTGGGATGTAAGAAGTTTTTCAAAAGATTTAAAAATTCAGCTTACTGGATCACTTCTAAAGAAGACCAACGAAGTACGTGTTAATATAAACCACCTTTTCTTCCATGATGTCCATCCAATTCCTGCACACAGGTAAAAATTTTCAGAAGAACTAGAAATTTTGTCTTGAAGGACTAACATGATACTGAATTTTCTTTTAAATGATCGATCAGTCAATGAACCATAACATCAAGACAATATGAAAAGTACAGATTCCCTATATTTTCTGAAAGATAATTTAATCAAGTTGAACTCTTAGGTCCAGCCAGAAAACATTCTTTTTCTAAATTTTAATATGCAAGAATAGATTTTGGGTGTGTAAAGGAAGAGCCAAGCAAAACATGTGTGATACAGGGCACAACCATAACACAGCAAGCAAGACACAGAACACCATACTCTGTGAACAAATTATAGAAACCATTTGCATATAAATGGAAGAACCCTTTATCCTTTTTTCTTGTCAGTAAAGGCCGTCTGCAGTATCCTTAGGAAGTTGATATGACATAGCTGTAAAACAAAGAGGCTTGCAATTGGGAAATTACTTTTAGAACAGATAAAAAACCTAATAAGATTCTTACTGAAACAGATACTCCTGGATATCATGGATATATCTCAAGTCAGATGACAAATCAAATAAGGAAATCCAATAGTGTCAAAGACAACACAAGGATGTGTACATAAGATGTGGAAATTCTTGAAAATATAGGACAAGATATCAATACTACATTATAGTTGTATGTACTAGATAAACTAAGCATACAAAACATTTAAGAAAACAAAATGTAACAAATAAAATATCAACTCTATACAAAATCTAATAGGAAGAGGGCAAAATAAAATACAAAATAGCCCAGCATATCTAATTACTTTCTAATTTCTACACTTAATCGTATTAAAGAAAAAGCGTCGTCTTCATGCAAGTGTAGGTATGACCATAATAAGAATGTTTAGGCATCCTGAGAATGTTTCGAATCCTAAGAATGCAATTCACTGAAAGGAACAAAAATTATAAAAGAGTTAGGAAATATAAAGATACATGACCTATATGCTGATCATTGCACATTGGGGGAAATGTGGCTATAGAATAATTAAAATGAAAATATTCTAAACTACAGAAATGCTGCTTGCTCGAAACTGCAAATAATAACATATGGTAGTTCTTTCCATACTTGTGCTCAATAGAGGCCATCTATAACGACCAGGACCTCATGCCCAAATCATTATATCATACGTACTATACACTTTGGGAGGACATGAAAGGAGGTAAGAGTGCGCATACTCTCCTAAAGTGGACAGTACATATGATATAATGGCTAGGACACAAAGTCCAGGTCATCACAAAAAATACACGTCTTTTAATAACGAACTAAGCTTAGTGCCCATGCTATTAAATCATACGTACTATCCACTTTAAGAGAGGTTAATAGTATTGAACAGCAGCAATATTTCATAGATTTTCATGGATATCATATTATTTATATTCGTTACATTATACAGTTACTTATCTAGAATGAAGAACAAAGAATTTTATGATGTATTCATGTTTGATTTTAAAAATGTTACCAGAGTTCAAAATTTCTAGAAGTTTTCATAATGCAAGAATTTTCAGAAAATATGCATAAATGAGAAAAATTTACTTATTTGCAAATTATCCACTCACTGAAATTTAAGCTCATATATATTTTTTCACCTTTTTCTTTATTAGACAAATAGCAGCCGAATGGAGCAACTTTGGAGCCTATCAAACCACCAAATTAAGTCACGCATCATAGGTTGTATGACATCCTTTATCAAATTATACATTATGTGTTCTTTTGGGATACATGTAGCTTAAATCAGAAAAGTTCATTGTGGGCTCATTAGATATTTGGTATCTTTAGTATATTTGAAGATTGTTGGTTATACAGCAAGTAAATGTTGATTTGTCAACATTTTATTTGAATAGTTTATATTTTGAGGGACTGTCTTACCCTATTCATATTATAGGTATTGATTTGAAGAAAATTGGTTATTGTTCAAGTGGTTTTAGTTCATATTTCAGAAAAAACTCTATCAAAATTTTGTTAAAAATATTTTTCAGTCAAAGAAAGTCAAAGTTGCTTTGGTGGTGGGTCTGGCATTTAGTTGGGATCTACCATCGGCGCACGACACGCGTCGGATCCATTAAGGTGATTCGGGACGGGTTGTGTCAATTCAAATCTAAGACCTCTGCTTTATTGGAGACTATCCAATTGGTACTAGAATTCTTAGGTTCGAAACATGAAGACACATTAAAAATTCGCAAGGGCCAAGAGAGGCTCAAACTCTCCCAAAACGAAAAATAAATAAATTAACGACTTGGACAAAGAGGCTCGGATTGTTACACAAAATTGTGCGTATTTATAACATCTCGAGCGCCCCTTTATAGTCGTTAATTTTTAAATTAGTACCTTAATGTAAGATTATGAAAGTTGGGAGACCAAATTAATAACTTCCCATAGTTTAGTGACCCATTGTGAAATTTTTGAAAATGTTGTTTTAGGTAAGAAAAAGATTACAAGAAATTATTCTAATTTGTATTTTTATCTATATGGGCAAGATTTTAGTGAAAAATAAGTATTTTTTATATACATAGTTAGTATAGCATATCACCTTATTTGGCCTGTTAGATGTAGGTTAAAATCATAGTTTTAGTAAATTTTGATGAAAGTTAAGGAAATGTGTGATTGAAAAGTTGTAGAAAAATTGAATATGTGATTAAAATTAATTATTTACTTTGACTTGAGATTAAAATCAGATTTTACTCAGAAAAAACAGGGGCTTAGTGTACAATTATAGGGGTACCATTATGACACTTTCCCGTTCATGGGTATCCCTAAAGGCACATACCAAAACCTACCCCTCCCCATTTTTAAAATACCAAACATAAATTACACGAACACACTCTTCATATAAAGGACAAAAACAAAAAGGAAGAAGGAATCCTCCCCCATAGAATTGGTCAAGAAGTGTTTGGCAAACTCAATTCGTTAGAGCACTTTTTCTCAATAAGCAATTATCAAGGTAAATTCATGTTATAGTATTCCACAAAATTCTAAATTCGT